TGTAAGAAAAGAGAAAGTGTGTGTGTGTGTGTGTTGTGTTGCGTTGCAGACAGAGGCCAAGGAGTAGTTTTAAGCAACCAAACGCACTGATACATGAAATAAGATGTCTCTCTCTGGGACTGAAACTTCCTCTAACCTCCACTGCCCCTTTGTAAGAATTCAAGAGTGGTTCAAGAGTCTTCTGTCTTTATGTAGCAATGGTATTAAAAGAAAATGCATTTTTCATCTCATTCTGTAACTGGGTTTCCAACAAAATGACTTGCTTTTATAATCTTTTACTCTTTTATTTAAAGAAGTTACCATTTTGAAACTAAAGCAACACCAATGGTTTAGCCCATATATTTGAATTCAACATTTCAAGGCAGGTTTTTTTCTGTTAAATGTCTGTGTGTGCGTGTCCCCTGATAGAAGAATGCTCATTTTTTCCTCCCACTTTAAATCCTATTTGCGACATATTTAACTGAACCTAGAACAATACATGGATGTACCATCTTTGTCATCTGTCCATTTCTGCAGCCCATGTTCCCTGTGCAGATTTTCCTGCGAGTGGCCCCGTGTACAATCAACACTACATTTATCAATGTGTCCAAATGAGTCATGCTGGGAATGACAAGATACTGTATATACTAAAAAATACTATAAATAAGGAGTATAAATATTTTTAGGCAAGTGAACCCGAATCTGTGCGTTGTGTGCCTTATTCACGAATACAGTATATAATATTGGCAACGTCAATTGGTCCTCTGTATGTTATGTCATATGCTCGCTATATGAGTGATTTTTTTACATAAGCAAATTGAAATTTTAGCAGGATGCGTGTCGGAAATCTAAACTGAAGCGATACTGAAAACACACTGACAAACATTCCATTTGTGGATGCGAGTCACACAAAGGGAAAGCAAAAACACCTACTGGGATATAAATCGGTTCGTTCCTCCTTTACTGCCGGTGTTGAAATGAGTGGTGTTAATCCACCAGGTAAAGGTGCCATGCAGTGAATGTATTTTTCTTGAACGTGGGATGTAGGTAGGGTGGTGAGACCTTGCACTGTGGAGCAGTCAGCTCAACGCAGCATATCCTGCCCACAGCCGATGTATTAAAACAGTGTTCACACAAAAGCCGTCTTTTGGCATGGCCGCCCGGAATCTGTAATTCCCCCAGGATTGCAGGACAGGAATTGTTTCTATTGGCCAGCAGTGACGACCAAGGGATCATTTCTCGTAGCAGTGGGTACTTATTTTTAATTTTTTTTTTCTTTTTTGAGGGCGGGGGGGGTGAATTCTGAAATCTCATTTGAGCGTCAGTTGCCTGTTCAAGCCCAAAGCCACATTTTGTTTACAAGTGATGATTGTATGTAAAGACTTTCTGCCTGTCATCGAACCAGAGTCTGGGCTGTCTCTTTTCTACTCGACACATGCACACTGACATCACAGACACACACTCAGCATACACTGTTCAACTGCCTTGTACATTGCAATATGAACTGGGTCTTTCAGTTGCAATCTAAATTGAAGCCTTTATATTTCAGTCTGGTGTACGTGCAGATGAACCAGACTTTGTCATGTAATTCTAATTTAAATACTGTGCAACGTGGCGATGAGAGGCCAGCTGATCTCCAGAGTATTTGAGCGTGTAGATATGTTGTAAAATTGTACTGTGAATGTGTAAATAATAATGATGGTCTTTGTTTCATGATATTTTTTGTTGTTGTTTTTTTTCTCCATTTTTTTTAACACGGCATGTATAGTTGAAATAAAACATTACTGCACAGAAATGGTGGCATTGTGGTGTTTTTCCACAACAAACTGCTGATGAACTCAGCAGAGCTGGGTTTCGTAAGCCATCTCTTTGTTTATCGTGTTTCTGGACAACTGAGGAAGGCTCAGATTTGAGAGATAGGGCCTTGTGAATCTGGTGGTGAAATGTAGTAGGTAGTTGCAACATGACTGGGAAGGAAGTAGCTAGCTGGGTTCTGGGAGCAGACTGTAGAATGATTAAGACTATTTTTAGATGTCTGGGGCCGGCACAGAGTCAGCCACACCAGATAGCATGTGGGAAAGTTTCCAAATTAGTATGTTCTTGTAGACACCGAACATCTGGTCTAACTGCTCCCCAGGGGATAAGATCTAAGCCACCAATGAGCTGTGGTGGAATGCACACAAAAGTAGCACCCACATACATTTGGATGCATGCAGCGCAAACATCTCGTTTATGTTATGCACTGATAAAGCTGTGGGGAACATCAACAAAGAATAAACAAGTGATGGTTTGATAAGAAGCAATCACGGGTTCATGTTATCCAGTTTGTTGAACTGCGAAAAAATGTGATTGCCTTTTGAGGTGGGATTATTCATTCACCTTTAAAGGATGTAATATATTAAACTGATGCACATATAATAACAGTAAGTTATAAGTAAGTAATAAGTCTAGAACTGCAAAATGAACACAATCAAAATACAAAAAGATTCATAAATAAAACGTGTTATCATAGGATGTAGTGTTGAAACATGATAGCGTGGATGCAGGGGAATCTATTGCAGCCGTTAGATGTCACAGTCCAACTCGTATCACGCAACGCCAGCATCCCCGGTTTGAATCCAGCTGGGCAAAAATGCTTCAAAACCAGGGGTGTCACGCTTATTTTACATCGTGGGCCGCATACAGCCTACTTTGATCTTAAATGGGCCAGATCAGCGAAATTTCTGTCAGTGTTACAAGTTTAACTACACATTAAAGTCCTGAGATATCTTAATGTAAGAACAGTAAGTTGAATTCCAACATTGTGTCTCAGTTTATCTACATAATAAAGAAATGCTGCTGTAGCAAAGAAGTCTGTCAGCACAGTTCTTTGGGCTGAAATTATAATAAATAAATGTGAACATTTTCTGCCAGCTCATTGCCCAGACTGTCCTGTAATTATAAAACACACAGAAAATATTCTACTTTTTTCCTTCTGTAAGAACAGAAATATCTATAGTTGATAGATTAAAAAAACTGGAACTTTTCTGTCATATAAATCTTTACCCATTACTTAAATACTCAAGTGTGGTATGAAAGACCATGAGGGAGTTGTTTTTCAGCAGGAAAAGCTGTGAAACAAAAATGTCCAAAATGTATGCCCTTCCTCACTTGTTCCAAAGCCATCCAGCCATCCAACGCCCGGGGGCGTTCTCTTCTCTTTTATTCTAATTTCTTTCTTTTTTTAAACACATACAGTAATGTAATATCAGTTATACATACAACCACGATTTCAAGTGTTAACGTCCTACTAAAGCTCAAATCAATAACCGGAATCATCTGAAGCCAACTCATCTTACTAATCTGCATATAAAGAAGCTGTGTAGGAGGGCTCTAAGAGCGCGGGCCCTGCTTTGTTTTGCAGAGAGGTGATGAGGCCCTTTGGATGTTTGGCTAGGAGGCTTTGTGGCTCATCACTGCCAGCAGAATGTTGACACAAGTACTCCTTCATTGGCTTTCTGCAGGACCTCCAGAAAACTCACACCTCCTAGCAACCCCCACCCACCCTTTCTCTCCCACATACACACACACAAGGGAAACATTCTCCCCTCTGGGTGTTCTAGCGGGGGTTGGGGTGTGATTTGGTTAGGAATGGGGAACAACAAAGAGGCACCTCTTGCTATTCTGATGTACATCCCATCCTCTCAATTTATCAGATGGTCTCTTTGAATTAGTGGAGGCAAATCAAACACAGCCAATGATTCTGTAGCCGTTTCATTCATTTGTCCGTCCGCCTGGCCGCACTTAGTCTCATTACAGACAGCGACTGTTCTCGGACAAAAAGCGAGCGTTTGTTGTCATACTGACGCGTCTGTGTGCATGTGTGTGTTTATTCTATCTCTCGTGGGATGGGGAAGCGAATGGTAGGAAAAAAAAAACAAGAAAAATACATCTTGGTTAAGTCTAAGTGGAACACAGCGAGGCCACTCATCTAGATGCAGGCAGATGAACGTAAAATGCTAGAGCTGAAGGTACAGATGAAAATTTGATTTAAAACAGTAGCAGCGTGTACAGAGACACACACTAACGCAGAGTGATATGGCCCATTTTCTGCTTTTTGGCTTTCTCTGCAGCATCTCTTTAGAAATTTAAGGATAGTGATTAGACTGAAAATCATCCATCTGTATGCCTTCCTGTCCTCTTTTCCTAAAAGCCTGGAGGTGAAACCAGCAATTCCATTTGTAAGCTTCAGTCATGGAAAAGGTGCTCACAGGGTTTCTTTGTGGGCTTTAGCGAGTACATGCACTCTCTCTGATGTATTAAAACCTGACCCAGTGTCCAGGAATTGACTCATTTGAAAATGGAACTAAATGACAGGGAGGAAGTTAAAATTTCTCCAAGTTGGATCGAAAAAAGTTTTGACACTTGTATAGCCTCCACATTCGGGAAAAGCCATCGAAATCTAATCTGTGCGCCAAGCGACCTTACATTAACAGTTGGTTAATGGCACACATTGCTTTGAAAAGTAACTTAAAAGCCAGGCAGGCAAAAGCGACGAAAGAGCGAGAGGTTGTTAAAATATGAGGAATGGAAGCACAGATAGATAAGGACCAGTATTTCCCCCGCCTTTACGAGCAAATACAGGCATTTGGATCATAGATGAACAAAATAGAGTGATGGGTGAAA